ACTGGCAAGTGTAGCTACAAAAGAGGAAGAACGTTACTGCTGAGACCAGGAGGCGGACCTGCATGGTTGCCCAGCACCCTAACCACCAGACTACCAAGTCTGTTGCATGATGCCAGTCGCCTGAGCCACAAGTCCTGAGCTGGTCAGGGGAGAAGACCAGAGACTAGCTTTCAGGAGAGGAGCAGGAAGGTGGAGTGATGTACAACTTATAAATTAGGCTGTTTCTGCAATTTCTAAATAAATTTCTAAATTTGCAAATGAAAAAGGAAAATTTGTGAATGCTGCCAAAAACAGGTTTGGTCATATTCTTTATGGCAAACAACAACATTACATAGATTTTCCGTGATATGGCCCCTCTGATGATGAACCGCTCCTGTAGAAACCGGTGAAGGCTGAGGAGACGCGTCAGTAACATAACGCCGGAACACATCGGCTGTGAAGCGCCGCGAAGCAGATCGCTCACCAAGTTTACGCACTGCCCATCGCTCCTCTGCTCACATCAGGCGAGAAATTTCTGCTCACTCCTACTGTTTCCCAAACGCCCCCACCCCACTCCCGTGCCCTTGTGTGTGTGTGTCTCCATTCAATTTCACCTCTGTAGTCTGTTGAGATGCACAAAATTATCACATTTCTCAATCGCAGTGTTTTATTTTGTTAAACTTACCGGCTACCTCTTCTGTTTGGGTTTGACTTTCTGCCAGAATTGACGCAAGTCACCCACGGCTCGCAAAAAAATGTGAGCTCACGTCGAAACAATCGCTGCACACCGTGGTGGCGCTTCACAGCTGATGTGACCGAAAGCGTAGGTCAACACGGGCGGCGATTAGAAGCGCTGGTCGTTCCACGGCGCTTTGCGGCACCTCCTCGCGCTTCCGTGTCTGGCGTGTTCCGGGCGTTAAGGTGTTAAAAACAGGAGCGCACAGCGAAGGGAAGGGCACAGTTTGTTTTATGTGAGTGGATTAAAACTGACACTGGGGGGTGTTAAAGCACTCCATACTTCTTGGTGTGCCTTAAATGTAAAAACGCCTTTCAGAAACGCTCCCATGACATCGCTGTAGCTAATGAAAGTTTGTGATGGCAGGAGGTCAGAATGCACACGCCAAATGATCTTCACACGACTTCTCACAGCATCTTCTGATGCGGTTCAGATGACGTGGATGCATTTTATTGGCTATACCGTTGTCTTGGTCAGGTCATCATGGAGAGCGTGTCTTCATGTTGAACGTGGAACCATGTTTAGAAGAGAATTGCTGCTCTGACATGTAAACTTCACTGGAGATAAATGACTCCTGTAATTAAGATATGTTGAAATCAAAGACTTTTGTTGTACACCATGTCCTTTAAACAGCTAAGTATCACATAGCGCTGTCAGGAGAGTGGTATGAGCTCAGGCTAATCCCTGCTTTGCCTGTGTTGTATATAGAAGTAATAGTTTACTCTTAAAACCTTGTGTAAATATGATATAATTGGTCAAGTATGAGTGTCTTTAAAGTGCAATCAGCCTAATGAATAGCAGGCTTCTGTTGGGAGCTGCAGTGGAGATGAGTAATGCTGCTGGGCTGAGAGAGAAGGGCTGTTTAAGCTTTGCCATGGGAATTTGTAAGCACATCAAAAGCACCCATTGGTGTTTGTTGTGCCAGTAAAAGAAAAAAAACAGATTAAATTCTTGCTTTTGGCAAACGGCATCTAAGAATACTTTATGTGACAAATCTTGTTGTGTTTTCTCTTGTGAGTGAGACCTCTGAGCAGCAAAGGCATGAAAGTCCCACAGATCCTGCTGACTGTGCAAGTTCTCCCCACACCAAGATCTGCTCAGCTTTAAACCAGAGCCTTAATTACTGGAATTGGTGGATGCTAATTAACAGCATTTGGACCTGACTGGAGTCGTAAATCCCTAGCTCAGGAGGGCAATCGGGGGCAGACTGCTATAGGTGAAGGGTGCTTAACTCACCAAGTAATTGTACGTTTCATGGATCATAATGCTTATGAATTCCCCCTGGGCACTCACGCATTCCCAGTTGGGCTCAATGTTAAGCCACTGGGAGTTATGGCAGGCTGATGGAGCGCTGATGTCACCACCAAGGAACAGCTCTGTGCTAATGGTGTTTAGCTAATAACGTTTGGAGCCACAGAGAAAGAATATCACAACCTCACGGGATTTTTGCAGTCATGCTTGAGTGCTGCTGTTTACACTGGTCTCACAGAAACATGTGTCCTCTTGGACGCCGTTGTCTGGTGAGACACAGCTTCAGCCTGAATGCCTCCACACACAGTTTTTGTTTTAGCGTTCCTTCAGGGTCAGGGTTAGGGAGTTCATCTAAAGTCCACACGGCACACCTGGAATTTGGAGCATCGTTCCTGGTGATCCTGCTGGACGTCAGGATGTAAGTTCCACCTGGGGGGCGGGGCTTCTCACACACACACACACACACACACACACACACACACACACACACACACACACACACACACACAGTGAGCAGATCCAGAAGCCAGGGTCTTTGTGTCACCCGGTGCTTCCTGCCCTGCAGGATGGGGATCGGGTAAAAGGTGGCAGACCCACTAAGAATGTGCCCCAGCAGGTCTTTAGCCTTCAGCATGGTCCAGAGGTCCCACACGCCTACCCCTGGGCCCTGCGCCTTAACCAGATCCCACTGCGGTTTGTTTTACAACCTTGAACCGCAGTTGGCCTTTAGATGCTCAGCACGGTAATCAGCCTCCCCCAGTGTTCCTGTGCTTCGTTGTTCACTTGGCTCTGTTTAATAAAACACTGTTTATCAGTATTATTATTGTTGTTGTTGTTGTTGTTGTTGTTGTTGTTATTATTATTATTATTGTTTTTCATCCCAGGGCTGGGTTTGAGTTCTGCTGTCTTTAGCTCTTTGTCTTGTTCCTACAAGCTCCATGGCAACCAGCAGCTGTCTGTCTGTCTGTGTGTGTGTGTGTGTGTGTGTGTGTGTGTGTGTGTGTGTGTGTGTGTGTGTGTGCGTGCGTGCGTGCGTGCGTGCGTGCGTGCGTGCGTGCGTGCGTGCGTGTGTGTGTGCGTGCGCCGGCTGATGCTTTTAATGAATTAATCGGCCGTTTGAGTGTTTTCTGTTCAGAGCCGTTAGAATAAACCATTTTTTTTATCTGGGCTGGAATCGGGTGGAGGGTCTGAGTTTGGGTCATTGCTGGATCTCAGCCCTCATCCTATTTGAGCTCTGATGCTAAACTCACCCACTGGCCTTTCAGACTGGGGTCTGAACTGTGTCAGATGAGGGATAAATTTGTGAAATTAGGTGCAGAACATTCTTATTTCTGAGCTTTTCATCGTTTTTATAAATAGCAGAATTTTGTCATGAAAACTAATGCTTCTGTGGTCCTTTCCCTCCAGTAAAATATGGCTGGCCCGTGAACAAGACAGAGTTCTTGTAATGTGGAAACAGAATACATGTTTCATGCTCTCCATACCCGCTGCCACCCCCAGCCCTCCTCATCTGCGTTAGTCTTTGTTTTCACTGATCGTGGCTGCCCAGCAGAAGTGTGTCCCCAACCTGCCTCTCTGCATGAGCTTGGTCCGTCCTTGTCTTGAAGACATTCTCTGATTCCTCCTGACCACGCAGTGTGGTCTTCACATGGCCAATCAAATAAGTTGAGCCAGCCAGTGTTTTCTCCCCACATGTACAACAAGAAAATCTGGCTTCAATTATTATTTCACCCCAAGGGGGACTTCCAGAGTTCCTCCCCTTCTCATTTGTCAGAAATGAAGCTCTCTAGTTTCCTGCGATTTGCTGAAAAATGTCTTTTGATATTAAATCACAGCTGCCGTATGGCCAAGACGAATGTTTATCATATTTATTTATGTCACTGGAGATGACCCTGCTGCTCAGCAATGCAGAGAGCTGGCTTTAGACTCCATGTTATGCTGATTATGAGAGAGCATCTCCTAAATAAGCTGCTGTTAAGAGAGCGCACATGAGGTAACTGTGGTTTGTGTCACGTGAAGAATGCAGGCTCGGGTGGAGGAGGGTGATGGAGGTAGTCCTGCTAATGAATCTAGACTGACACATCCCACCCAAAGCTCGCTCAGCTCTTCGATGGATTTCTATTATCCTGTTGATAAATGTGGTTCCAAAAGCTGATTAAGGATCTGTTTCACTTGTTTGTGTGTCAACAAACCCAGCTAAATCCCGTTATGCTCGTTGTTCCTGTGCTCGCTGCCTATTGTCATAACATGGTGCTCTGGCGGAGGCCTTCTCAGTGTGGCGAGAAAGGGAAACGCTATCTGAAAATTGCCGTTGACATTGCTGAAACAAATACAACTACTCATGCAGCTGCTACATCTGTAGCCGTTTTAAGCCTTTATGCACACCGCTGAATTCACCAGCACAAATAAACATATCATAACGAACCCTGATGTCATATGCAGATGTTGAATTGTGATTACTCTTTTTGCCTCATAAATTCATCAGAATCCTGAGATGACATCATATGTTCTTGGCACCGAGGGGCCGCTACTTGCTCCTTTGACACAGCGCTGCCTGATCCTGACGTATCTCTACATCTCCTCTGCCCCTGTCGGTTGGTGTACACTGTAAAAACCTCGTGTTTTCTACACAGAAATGGAAACAAAGGGCAGTCCAGCCAGGCTTTAAGCACCGTTATTGCCAACGATGAGATGGCCCGAAGCAGGACTTCTGATTTCACCAGAGGCGTGTGTGGTGTTCACCCACCAGAGGCTTTGACTTCATCGTAAATCCTGCTGAAAGAAGCGTGTGCTGCTAAAGAGAGGCTGAGCTGTAGGCAGCACCTGTGTCTTAACTGGTGCTGGTTCTACAGCCGGGCCCACTCCGACTAAAACCTTCCCACAGTTTCCATCACTGGTGCACATCTGTCCAACATTTGAAGTAGAACTAAAACTAAACCGTTTTTCTTGTATATGAACTTGGAGCACAGCTAAACCAACTGAAAGTTGGGTTAATCTGTAAAGAATCTCTCTCTCCCTTTCTCTCTCTCTGCAGACATGCACTGAACCTTGGCGTTCTGCAAGACCCGGGCTCTGAGGTGGAGGATCGCCAGTATCAGGTTGACCTTCAGTCCATCGACATTGGGACTGCTCAGTGGGAGCAACTGAAGCCAGAAAAGGAGGGAGTCAAAGGAGGCGCATCAGCAGAAAGTGAGAGGAGTTCCCAGAATCCAGCCCTGGAGTGGAACATGGCTAGCAGGTCAGCAGGTCAAATCCGTGTTTCAGTGGTGCAGCTGTTGGAGACGAGCAGCATTCACGAGGAAGTCTTTAAAGTGTCTCAAAACCTTTACGGGGTTTTGAGTTTCCTCATGTTGGTCACAAGGCCTCTCCACCATGTAGCTTTCCCTAAGATTTGAACCAGAAACCTGCTTTCGAAATAGTCTCCGTGTGTTCAGGGTTCTGGAACCCCGAATGAAGCTCGTGTTCTTCAGGTCTCTGGAAACATTGTCAGACATCCCATAATAAAGACTGAAGCATCGGGTTTCATCCTTCAGACTTCTGTCTTAACGGGATCACAACAAAAGGTCTCAGGAAAACTTTCGTCAGACAAAACCCGGTCACAGGGGTTACAGTGGGGCAAAAAAGTATTTAGTCAGCCACCGATTGTGCAAGTTCTCCCACTTAAAATGATGACAGAGGTCAGTAATTTACATCATAGGTACACTTCAACTGTGAGAGACAGAATGTGAAAAAAAGCCATGAATTCACATGGCAGGATTTTTAAAGAATTTATTTGTAAATCAGGGTGGAAAATAAGTATTTGGTCACTTCAAACAAGGAAAATCTCTGGCTCTCACAGACCTGTAACGTCTTCTTTAAGAAGCTTTTCTGTCCTCCACTCGTTACCTGTATTAATGGCACCTGTTTGAACACATTATCTGTATAAAATACACCTGTCCACAGCCTCAAACAGTCAGACTCTAAACTCCACTATGGCCAAGACCAAAGAGCTTTCGAAGGACACCAGGAAAAGAATTGTAGACCTGCACCAGACTGGGAAGAGTGAATCTACAAGAGGCAAGCAGCTTGGTGTGAAAAAATCAACTGTGGGAGCAATTATCAGAAAATGGAAGACATACAAGACCACTGATAATCTCCCTCGATCTGGGGCTCCAGGCAAGATCTCATCCCGTGGGGTCAAAATGATTATGAGAACAGTAAGCAAGAATCCCAGAACCACACGGGGGGACCTGGTGAATGACCTGCAGAGTGCTGGGACCACAGTAACAAAGGTCACCATCAGTAACACACTACAACGGCAGGGAATCAAATCCTGCAGTGCCAGACGTGTTCCGCTGCTGAAGCCAGTGCATGTCCAGGCCCGTCTGAAGTTTGCCAGAGAGCACATGGATGATACAGCAGAGGATTGGGAGAATGTCATGTGGTCAGATGAAACCAAAGTAAAACTTTTTGGTATAAACTCAACTCGTCGTGTTTGGAGGAAGAAGAATACTGAGTTGCATCCCAAGAACACCATACCTACTGTGAAGCATGGGGGTGGGAACATCATGCTTTGGGGCTGTTTTTCTGCTAAGGGGACAGGACGACTGATCCGTGTTAAGGACAGAATGAATGGGGCCATGTATCGTGAGATTCTGAGCCAAAACCTCCTTCCATCAGTGAGAGCTTTGAAGATGAAACGTGGCTGGGTCTTCCAACACGACAATGATCTCAAACACACCGCCCGGGCAACAAAGGAGTGGCTCCGTAAGAAGCATTTGAAAGTCCTGGAGTGGCCTAGCCAGTCTCCAGACCTCAACCCCATAGAAAATCTGTGGAGGGAGTTGAAAGTCCGTGTTGCTCGGCGACAGCCCCAAAACATCACTGCTCTCGAGAAGATCTGCATGGAGGAATGGGCCAAAATACCAGCTACTGTGTGTGCAAACTTGGTGAAGACCTATAGTAATCGTTTGACCTCTGTTATTGCAACCAAAGGATATGTTACAAAGTATTGAGTTGAATTTTTGTTATTGACCAAATACTTATTTTCCACCCTGATTTACAAATAAATTCTTAAAAATTCCTGCCATGTGAATTCATGGATTTTTTTTCACATTCTGTCTCTCACAGTTGAAGTGTACCTATGATGAAAATTACTGACCTCTGTCATCATTTTAAGTGGGAGAACTTGCACAATCGGTGGCTGACTAAATACTTTTTTGCCCCACTGTAAATACAGGACTCCTGCAGGTGGCGCTGTTGTCAGGTCAGGGGCGAATCATCCAGAAGGGTTCCTAACACCACCACCGTACGCCACCTTTACTTTAGCGGTAGCTGGGCTGTGAAATAAGTAAATAACCTGACACACGTTTCCTCTAATCCGACGTGTGAACGTTCCGCCGACCAGAGGGACATGCCTGGAACAAATGCTACCATTTAAGTCCAGTTTAAACCGGCTTTAATTGCTTCTACATTATCTCTGTGGATCTGTAGTTCACACCACCAGTTGTTTCCTATTTTCCATTTTTGCTCCAAAGGCTTTAAACGGGGTTACGTTGGCTGTAGTAGATGTTACCTGGCCAGATGTGGTGGTTGTTCCATACCATTCCATAGTGTTAACCTGAGGTCATCATGCGGTTGCTGAATACGCTCCCTGTCGTGTAGCTGTCCATGCAGTCATACTAACACATCCTGTCATCTTTATTGTGTCAGTAGCCTAAACAAGCACAACTGTAACAGCCCGCTGGCTTCATGTCCCGTTTTCCAACCATGTATTGCAAGGGAACGGGCCCAAAACTCACAGAAACACAGGTAACGACTGCTGATTTGTTCTCTGTCCACTAAAAACAAGTCTCATGCAAGAGTGCGTCTCAAAGTCAACACCGAGTCTGCGGCCAGGTCACCGGGACTTTAAGTGACATGCACTGGGCTCAGATAGACACAGTGACAGGTTCACAGTAACCCTCATCTGACGTCATTATGGACATCAGATGTCTTCTTCAGACAGACACACACATATGCACACACACACACACATATACGCACGCACACACACACACACACACACACACACACACACACACATGCACACAAACACATACGTGCACGCAAACACATACATGCACGCACACATGCACACACACACACACACACACACACATATGCATGCGCACACACACACACATGCCCACGCACGCACACACACATACACACACATGCAGACGCACACACATACACACTCACACACAGAAGCGCACGCAAGCACACACACACATGCACACACGCGCACGCACACACACACACACGCATATACAGTCTTACACGTGCACGTGAGCGCACACACACACCGGTACACACACACACACACACACACACACACTCTCCCTCTCTCATGCGCACTCACACACAAACCCTTACATGGCTCTATCATGGTAAAAATAGAAACAGGAAATGATCTTCTGCTTTATTTTATTGAAACACAAACCATGAAAAGGTTAATCTACTGGCTTTGAAGAGCTTGGTTGCTTCCATGTGCTGAGAGCAAGTACGGTAGCCCGCGCTCATCCAGGAAGAGGAAACCTTAACAAAAGGATCATCAGTAAATAAATCTGGACTGGTTGCCTCAATAAAACCTCTAAGTGAAGGTCTGAGAGCTGAGGGGTCAGGGGTCAGGGGTCAAGATCACCAGCAACACTTAGCTTTCTCCTGACAGGACTCCAAAGACTGTCCCTGTGTGTGTGTGTGTGTGTGTGTGTGTGTGTGTGTGTGTGTGTGTGTGTGTGTGTGTGTGTGTGTGTGTGTGTGTGTGTGTGTGTGTGTGTTTGTTTTCTGGAACTGTTGGAGACGAACTGGAATCTGTTTTTTTGCAGAAGTTTCCATAATGTCTGAAAAAGTTCCCGAGGGCTCTCATTCCTCATGAGAGCTCCAGAGCTTCTCCGCTGTGCAGCTGGAATTGTGATCTTGTTCAAAGACATTTGTGAGAAGACCTCCTCCCATAATGGTCACTGATTCATTACAGGCCGTGTCTTTAGCCTTTTTTAGTTTGTGTACCCAAGTCGCAAAAGGAAGGACACGTGAGACAACTGCAGACTATTGCAGAATGAAATGAGGGTAAAGTCTGAACATTTTAGACCTTTTGTGACTAAATTACAAAGTTTAACTGTAAATTAAACAGTCACTGGCCTTACCTGCATCTCACCTTGTTGCTAATAAAAGCTTTGTTACTTTTTTAGTTACTGTAGTTTTTTATTTTCCTTTACCCTTGGCTAGGAGATGCCAGGAGGAATCTTAATACAGTACACATGCAATGGCAGACTTTATGCAATCGTAACACAACTGTAATTATAAGTGTCTTCCATACAAATTCACCCAATTTCTACAGAAAATTAGAACATTTCTCCTCTGTGCCTGGTTTCCCATGGAGACCAGTGCAGCATGGGTTAAAGCTTGTTGACATTTAGTCATGTTAGGCTTTAGCCTTAAAGAGGTTCTTCACTGAGCACCCATGGTGTACTGATTATCTCTGACTCTAACGGGTCACTCTGAGTGTTTCATGCAGGCTGAACATGAAAATAGTCTCCTACACCTATCTCCTGTTTTAGTTTCTGATAGAAAACAGACGGTGAAACTCTAGGATTAGAAAAGCCTGACAGATCTGCATCACACTGTCACTAACATTCATGGACTCACCCATCTGGACTCACGACAGGGAAGGCTGTTGTTGGTTTAGCATCCAGGAAACAGCAGAGAGTCTCAGCTAGTTGAAGCTAACAGTTAGCATTAGTATCTCCCCCACACAGCAGATCTCCAGGCTTGTGTTATTGGTGGAGATAAAACATCAACGTTGCGGAGCAGAGAGTCGGTGGTAGAGTCGTGTTGCTGTTAGCCAATCAGAGGAGAGATGTCTGAATATCAGGACGTAAGACTCCAGTTCCTGCCGTCTGAAGCTCAGCTGTGATGTGACTCTCTTCTACTTCCTGAAACAGGCGCACCAGAGCTTTTTTTCCCCAGAACATGACTCGCAAGGCCTTCATTCCTACTAGGAAGGTCTGCAGACGTGTTCAGTATGAGCGAAGAACCTATTTAAACACTGACTTGTTTCCATGTGGTTTTCTTCTATCTTCTTAAGAATCTGTAAGATCTGCCTTTTCCTTCTTGTGTAGTCGCACTGAGAAAGTCCATGTTACTGTTGCTGTTGAGGTTTTTGAATTATCGTCTAATTCTGACATTCAGCGTCCAAACAAATCATTCAAGGTGGTTGTGGTTGCCTGCTCCCCCTGCTGTGGCAGCCCAGAGCCGTAGAGGCTCTATTGGAAAATGCTCTCCAGCCTCAGTCACCACCACCAAGTCATAACTGAACATGTGATTTAGTTCCAACACAGGGAAGGGGAGTCAAGTTCACAGCTTTACTTGTCCGCTACAATCACCGGCAGAAACGTACCACTTTGGTTTTAACAGGTTTTGACACACAGCCCTTCCAGGGTTCGCACCTTTTCCTTATTCCATACATCGATCCGCCCCGCCTGCCTCTAAACCTACGCTGTGCTGCCTTTTGGAGTCGGTTTCAGTAGTTGTGGGTCTGCAGCGGGCTCAGTTTGCTTCCTGAGGTTTTGTGAGGAAATTCCTGTTCCCTAGATCGGCTGACAGGATCTGTCCTCGTCACAGTTTATAGTTGTTAGTGAGGAAAAGACCTTGTGTCAGGGCCGTGAACCGCTCTGTGCAGGCCTGGCTTTTTGTTCCTGCCATTCACATGTCAGCTTACTGACTGCACCACACACCACTGGATGGAAGAGACGTCTCTCCTTCTGTTTTTGTGTCATACGTGCAGCCACACACACATTCTCCAGCCCACTCAGAGGCTTTGTAACTCTGGTAAATGGAGACTCACGCTGGTGAATGATCGCACCTGTCCGGTGCAACGAGACGCTCATTGTTTCAACCCCGTCTTGAGGGGAGATTAGCCAACACCAATTGGCTCCACAGATCATTTCTCCTCCGAATTAGGCCCCTCTCAAACTGTATGTGAGGAAATGTGTCAGGAAGTAATCCCTTAAGGCACTGGTAATGCACATTTGTGTAGCAGGAGTGAATGTGATATTGGTTCTGCCTAAGGACCGTACTCAGGGCCACCTAGAAACTGGGCCTCCTATAATCCTGTCCAACTGTAAATATTGGAAGCCGTAGCACTTGATTGTTTTAATAGCAGCAGATGTAGCTATTAACAGCACCTTATAAAGCTCTGTTGTATATTTGTTTTACTGCTAACAAATGTTCCCACAAATATGACCTGATGGTGGGAATGGACATTAGTGAAATGGAGTTGGTGTGCCGAGTTGTCGTGGATACGATTAATGTGCGTTACCAGTGGTGCCTCTGTCTGGAACTGTGTAACAACTAGAATGTCTTTGAGCAGAAAAGAAGCTCAGCTGTGGAGATTTGTCTCAGATCAGGCCCACAAGACCCAAACTGTTTAGAAATGTTCTTTTTTTTAGAAATGTTTCTTACTGGTTTAAACTAGAGAAGCCAGAACGGGGCTGGCTTTCATCCGAGACGACAACAACAGCTCACTTGTGAACATTTAGTGGTTTTGCCTGTGTTGTGTTGGCTCTTCATCGTGCAACAACAAGGTGACGTGGTGACATACCTGCTGCACTGGAATCGGCTACGTGTAAAAGACTTGTTAGGATGGATTCATGTGACTCTGTCCGGTGACGTGTCTGTACGGTTCTCTCTCACAGCATCAGGCGTCACCAGGAGCGCCGAGCCATCCTGACGCCCATCTTGAGTGATTTCTCTGTTCGGGTGACGGCTGCTCCGGCCATCATCTTCAGCAGGACTCTGTCCCCTGATGGTGGACAGCCAGAGGTCAGTACTCTATGTGGACACATCTGTTAAGAGTCTGGTGACCTTTTTACTGAAATAAGAACAAGACGGCAGCAAGGTGCTTTAGAGGGTGGGTCCATTGGAAAGGCCACCGTCAAATAATGAACCTCTGCATTGTTCCGGTTCACACTGACCACTTAGTTCGGCTGTAACCTGGACCTGGACCTGCCTCCCAGATGACCTGGAACTGGTACATCTAGCTGCCGGTTGTAGTTACCCTCATAACCACAGAGCTCCATGTAGATATGTTGATGATGGGATGTTGGACGGCTGACTAGTGTCGATAATACCTGTGTGTGTGTGTGTGTGTGTGTGTGTGTGTGTGTGTGTGTGTGTGTGTGTGTGTGTGTGTGTGTGTGTGTGTGTGTGTGTGTGTGTGTGTGTGTGTGTGTGTGTGTGTGTGTGTGTGTGTGTGTGTGTGTGTGTGTGTGTGTGTGTGTGTTAGCTAGCCTGTTTCAGCCTGTCCATATAGAAACAGATGCTGAATATGTCAGAAGTATTTAGGTTTTGTTGTGAACCTACAGAAACTCTCTCCGAGTCCCCCGCCGCTCCAACACGGAGTCGAGGTTTTTGACCTCAAGAGTTCAAACCTTTCTGCTTATACAGCTGATGCTTCTGGCACCGCTCTCTGAGACTTCCTGCTTCTTTGATGCGTCATCCGACCACGCTAACGTGCTCCCTGACAATGTGTAACAGCTAAGCCATAGTTTGGACTGACACACACACACAGAGAGAGAAAATGATTTGTGTAACGTCCTTTGACGTGCCAGTAACAGTAAAAACCAAACTGGCCTCTGAACTGCTTTATATGGACAAAAGGTCTACTATGAATTCTCTGTAATGGTTGTGGAGCTGTTAGTTCATGCTCCTTCTAACACCTACTAGGAGTGTATTCCTCTGTTAGCTGAGTCAGTGATGCTCAGTGGTATATTTTTAAAAGGAAGGGGTCAGGCTGATCCGTGTGTGGCTCTCCTCACTGTTACTGAGTCATTTCCTATCAGATGGATGAGGTTTACACTGCTGGCTGTGGGTGGGACCCCAGAGAGGACACAACGTGGAGCACAGACCTGAACAGAGGAGGGCTTGTTGTGTGTCTCCAAGGTCTGAAGGAGAGGAGTCCAGAAGGAGGCCACTGACCAGTCCCGATGTGTTAAATCTGTTTCCTCCCTCCTGCCTTTATCTAATTTCCCTGCTCTGGATCTTTTGTGTCCCAGGAAGTGGTGGTGTGTGGCCACTCTCTGGAGGTGAATGTGACCAGCAGTCTGGATTTCTACCTCAGCATTGGCCAGGTGCAGCTCCTTCAGCATCTCCTCAGAGACAACATGGTGGGCTTGAACACTCCAGAGAAGAGCCTAGAGGTACTCTCTCAAATATCAGCAGCACGAGGGCTCTTCACATCATGTGAAACCTTTCTGATGCATCTCCCTGAGCTGTGACTGTTGGGGGAAATGACTAAAGACATTCACAAGGGGAGTCTTTAAATTCTCCCCCAGCATATCCGAGGTTCCTGAACCACTGGAGTTTAGAAGAAATGACAAAAGAAACATTCTCTCAGAGCCAACCCCAAACTAGTGTGAACCCTTCTCAGATTTGTCTCCACAACACTGACATGCATGACATCACTTTGTGAGGAGTTTGTAACATTTGCACAAGCCACGATCCCCGTGAAGCTGCAGGAACAGTTTTGATGCCAGCAGCTGTGCTAGCCTGGAGAGGATGTGACTCTGAGCATCTTTAGGGTGTTTATGGTACAGACGCGAGCTCTCTACAGGTGGTGTTATTCTTATGGTTCATGCTTACTGTTACGATGAGTCCTCTAAGGCAGCATCTCCGCGGACGAGTCTGATGAAACTAGTGCATTTAAATATTTACTCCTCCAGACCAAAGCTGGCGGCAGCTTCAGGCCTCTTCCTATTGTTTACAGGAGCGGGAGCGCCCAGGCGCCGTTTGTCCCCGTCTGACTGCTTAATGAAGCTTTCTAATGGAACACAATATAAAAATATTTACCAGCAGTGGCGAGGATGGGATTCGTAGGGGAGAGAGGAGGGGGAGTTCAAACGGTGTGAGTCAACAACGTGACTTCACTGTTATCTGCTTTTTATGGGAGGAAATGTGCACTGAAGGGCAGTCGATGACACGGGTCGTCTGGAGGCTTCTGACAGCCAAAGCGCTTTTCTTGGTCCCACTGGTGCCCCCGTGGAGGGAAAGCTGCACATAGAGAAAACAAACCTTCTGATTTTGGACTCAAACACGCTGCTTTGCGGGTTTGTGGTGAAGCAGACACGACTCTTCTGCTGTCGGTGTGAATCTGTCATGCGGCCAGCTGAGCCAGGGTGTCAGTCCATCCCTTCTTTTGGGATTGAACCGTTAATAAACCTCTTTTGTGTGAAGTTAGAGCGACTCCCTCTTCTCTGCTTTGATACCTGATCAGCGATCCCCAACCCTGCTCCACGCACCTGACTTAGATGAAGGAGTGATTAACAGGCCTCGGAAGCACTTCATGTGCAAATATGTAAAGCAGGTGTGCTGAAGCAGAGATGTGGAAGAAATGCAGGACGGGGCCCCGAGGACCAGGGGTGGGGATCACAGTTTCAGCTGGACCTCGGCTAACTCTAGTGAGAAATGTGAGCAATAGTGTTTTTATTTTTGTTTATCCTTCTGTTCAAAAGATGTTGCACCAATTAATGTTGTTGTACAATGTCTCATTGCCACAATGACATAAAAGATGTTGAAAGTAGATTTTACAAGCTACAGCGCCCTCTAGTGGTGAGGCTTACAGCACTTTAGTGTGATTTTGGATCCTGAGCAGACATCAGTGTCGGCTCACAGCTGATAAGTGACAAATATCATGTAAAACTTGGAGGCAGTAGGTAATACCTGCGTATCTGCTGCCCCTCACTGATAACAGTAATGTAGCTGCCCTTCCTCTCACATGCTTAAGATTTCCAGCTGTGTGGTGAGGAGGACTTGTGTTTCCTAGAAGTGTTTGTCCCCTGTACAGATGCATATAAAAGCCCGCTCCATTCCTCTGCTGGTTTTTCCCCACATGCTTGTACTGATTCTTCTGGATTTCAAACCGCTCGCCCCTCACAGCTGTGTTTTATTGTCAGGGTTAATGAATTTGTTTTGTTTGGGCTTTTAAGTTCCCTGGCAGGGGAGAGGCGGGCTCGGCGCGTGGGTAATGTTTCAGTGCATTGTGGAGGACGTTGAGTCATTTCTACACCCAGAGCTATGCGCTGAATCTGCACACACACTTTTCCTACTTTTTCATTCTCCAGTGTGTTATTCTGGACCCGGTTGTTCCAGACCAGTTTCTCTTTAAGTCATGGCTAGGATGCAAAGCAATAGCAGGATGATTTGTGAGCAGATGTGTTGCTCCTTAAATCACTACATTATTAGGATGTTTATGGTGGCTTTAGCTCCGGTTGGTCACGGTGTGACTTCATCCCTGCGTTTTCTGCTTGATGTTAATGATGATGAAGTGAAGGGAGGCTGAGTTTGGAGTTGGGTCGAGCAGCCTTCAGCAGCAGGAGGTCCCACATCCACGGAGCTATGAATAGATGATGGAGCAGTTTTTATGGACTTATCTCACAGTCATCAGCTGTGTCACCCAGCAACACAGAAATTCATGCCATCAAACAAACACACACACACACACATGCATGCACACACACACACAACACACACATACATACACACATGCATGCATGCACACATACACACACACACACACACACACACACACACATGCGCTCCACATTCTCTCCCTGGTAAGTGTCTGCAGCCTGAATGTAGGAGACAAGGGTGTAATATGTCCTTACAGCTGACCTGTGTGTGTGTGTGTGTGTGTGTGTGTGTGGGTGTGTGTGTGTGTGTGTGTGTGTGCGTGTGCGTGTGCTTGCATGTGTGTGTGGTGTGCTTGGAAGGGGATATGTGAGGACCTATCACATTGCATGGACTGTTCCATCCCTGTCTGGCCTACTCCTCAATGATTCAAACATCAAAACAATTCTCAAAAGTGGAATCAAAAAAAGAACGTAAGTATCAGACAGTTCAAAGATTGTCTGCTGATCTGAAAAATCATCTTTGAACATATCTGGGCCCTAACTATTCATCATTTAGTTCGGAACTGGGGGGGGGGGGTTGCAGCCTTGGACCCCGTGTGCCTTGGGTCTGCGGGGGCGGTGCATCATCATGAGTGGGCATCTTGACGCCCTCTAGGGCTAATGTGGGCTCACTGAGCCAAGTTGGGGTCTGGCAGGGGTCCGGGCAAATGCCCAGGGATTCTAGCAGACCTGGTATGCTGGAGCTTCTGACTGGTCCGGGTGGGTCTGGGGTGGGGGCCTCAGCTTGCAGGGGCCCATGCCCTCCCTTGGCATGTTAGCTCCCAGCATGGGAGGGACCTGCCACCTGGTTGATGTCAACCTGCGATGGGGTGGGAGGGTACATGGCCTCGGGCCATGCTCCTGGGCCCTTTGGGAATAACTTGACTTGGGCTTTTGGCTCCCTTTTGCTCCCTGGGCTTAGGTTTGCCCTCTGAGCTGTCCGATCGGTGGCGCTTGGCTGCTGGAGCGTGCGTGGCCATGGATCCCGGGCCCAGTGGGACTTGGGCTGCTGGAGGGCAGCCCCTTTCCCATCACATACACAACAATACAACACAAAACCTCACTCTTAGTGACAAATCCACATACAGACACTCAACCACAGGTACATGTATACACATGCATTTGCACTCACTCACACACACACGCACACACACACTACTACAAAAATGGACAAGCAATGCTTTAAGTGGGCCGGTCCACACCGGTACGCAGCATTTTTACCTCAGCGTACCGGGACTTTTCTTCTAGAGTACAGAGTGCCTTTAGTTTTTCTGCTCTTTTATAATTTAAAATCTTTGAGATTTCTGAAAAAAATATCTGTCCATCTTCTCGTAAACACCTAGCCTGACCAGCCAGCCCCATGCGTCCTTATGGGTCTCTGTGTAGAATTAAACAGAGGACGAGTCTGGCAGTAAACACCGCCCATCCTAACACCAGAACACACACTCCAAGAGGACGCCTCTTTGTGGAAGAGGATGCGTTCTCTCCAAATGTACCAAGGACGTGCTTCACTGCCGTAACGCGCTGCCGTTAGCAAGCACGAGGAGGAAAAAAAAGAGGCGAGTTATCAGACACGTGTCTGTTCCCGCGCGCAGCACCTGACCAACCTGTGATGTGCTGACAGGTCCTGGTGGAGGAGAGATGGCATCCAAACAGAAACATAGATCGGGAGTACAAGAAACTAAATGTCAAAACAAGAGGAGGAGTGTGCTTCACTTGAAAGTGGGAATGTTGTTAGAAACAAAAAGGCATAAACCTCCCAGCTGCTGCTAATCATGAGACAGAAGAGAGGGTGATTCTGTCTGGATGTGGACTGCAGATTCTATTCTACGGCAGCCCTGATGATCATTTATTAAATGCAGGGCCGGTGCTAGCCATTTGGGTGCCCTAAGCACAAATGGTCTGTGGTGCCACCACCTAACAAGCATCATTGCTGATTTTAATGAGCCACAGCTACAAGTATGATCCCTCATGAAGTTACTACTTTACACCAGAAGATAGTGGAGACGTGTAACTTCAGGCTGAGCAACACTTAAGGGCGTGTTTACAATGAAAGTTTCAGAGATTTTAGGGTTTGAAAACTGCCTCTTGCCGAGAGGTTCCCGGTCTGGAGGAGGAGGAGACGAGCGTAGCACGAAGAGGGCGAATGTTAGAGGGATAAAGCTTACAATTACTGGCAGGTCTGGTCTTTGTTGTCTGGTCATGACTGACTGATAATGAAGCAGGATATTGACTCTCTGATGAAGAAATTCCCTCATCCAGTCGGAAAGATGACGCTGCTGCAGCGTGCAGCAACAGTCAGCCAGAGTAAGATTTATGGTGCTTACAAGCTCCAAGCGTTGGGTTTGAAGTTTTTTTTGACCGTGTTCGGACATGGTGGGCGTAGAAATGATGGTAAAAACACCCCTAATGTGACAGACGTAGCAACAAGGTAAATATAAGCTGTGTAGAAGCGGCAGACTTACTCGTGATGTACGGAAATCAAAGTGTGCCACATAATAATAAAAATATTCTTTCCCTTGGATCAAATGATCTTTATATTCAAGGGAAGGACATCCCTGAAGCTCGACAAGCCCAAAGAAACCGGTCTACAATCATCTGACTTTACTGAGGGACCTGACCCTTGTTCAAAACAACCTTTCCTTTTCTTGGAGAAGATCTGTTTAGAGGAACTTGTTAAAACCAGAAGACCATCTAACTCTCCAGAACTTCTTCACAATGAGTTTTATATTTTACATGAACTAACTTAAACA